GGCAATTCCTCTGCGAAAAATACACTCAATCACAGCACAAAATCAAATACCACTACAAGTGTCAAAACCCAACACTCACTTGACTCAAAACCACTACAAATTGCTCCCCCTCACCTTAACGGAGTCAACCATGTGTAAGAAAATGGGAACCCCACTGTTGTTTGTTGGTTCAAACAAAACAAATAAAACAAAACAAAAACACTATCTCACAATAAATTCAAGCCCGTCATCACAATGTAACATTTAAAGTCATATCTTACGACCCAACATCAAGCCACCAATATTTTCAATAAAAGTAAACGGCAATCATGCGTCATCTGTAAAAACAAAGAAAATACAATTCATGATTGCCCCTTTAAAATATTGGAACACTTATGCTATAAAAGGCATTTAAGTTAAGTTAAGGCATTTAAGGCATTTAAATTTCCTAAAAGGAAAATGCTATGTGATGGCGCTGCAGACGGCAGCCTCAGTGTTTGGCTCTCCAGTGTTTGTACTGTTTTTGTTAGTTTTTCCTGTTTTTTGTTTCTCAAACACGATCAGTTTTACCAGGGATGAACTGCTTAACTGCTGAACATTCGGCAGTACACACCACACAATCTTCTACCGGATTTCGTTTATTCGGACGTTTCGCTGAACGTTGTAGTTGGCGGAGCTGCGGCGCTGATCAAGGGGGAAGAAAGCCGGCATGCTCGTGAAGCTCAGGAAGCGTGGATTCAGAACAGCGCTGCCTAGCATCCATCTGGCGAATCTCCACTCTCTACCCAACAAAACGGACGAACTTCTGCTCTCCCGGACAAATAAGGATTTTTCACACGTTCCGATCTAGAAGCACTTTTCATTAACTGTAAGCCATTCTATTTGCCACGGGAGTTTTGCTCGTTCATTCTAGTCAGTGTTTACATTCATCCGCAAGCGCACGTTAGCTCAGCTTTACAGAAACTCACTGATCAGATCACAGAGACAGAGCAACAACACCCGGACTCTGTTTTAATCATTCTCGGGGACTTTAATAAAGCCAATCTCTCCCGTGAACTGCCAAAATACAGACAGCACATCACATGTCCTCATCTGCTGCTCTGTGTTTCACGGAAACCTGGCTGAATGACGCCATACCGGACAGCGCATTAAATCTGCCGGGCTTTCAGCTGTTCAGAGCGGGCCGCGACGCAGAATCAACGGGGAAATCACGCGGCGGCGGGACATGTTTTTACATCAACGAAAGGTGGTGTACAGATGTTACAGCGTTAAAGAAGATGTGCTGTCCCGATCTAGAAATGCTCTTCATTAACATTAACTCATTAACTGAGCCGTTCTATTCGCCGCGGGAGTTCCACTCGTTCATTCTCGTGAGCGTTTACATTCCTCCGCAAGCGCACGTGAGCCTGGCTTTACAGAAACTCACTGATCAGATCACAGAGACAGAGCAACAACACCCGGACTCTGTTTTAATCATTCTCGGGGACTTTAATAAAGTAAATCTTTCCCGTGAACTGCCAAAATACAGACAGCATGCTACATGTCCCACCAGAGACAGTAATATACTGAACCATTGTTACTCCACAATAAAGGATGCATATCACTCGGTGCCCAGAGCAGCTGTAGGACTCTCTGACCACTGCCTGGTTCATCTTATACCGACTTACAGGCACAAACTTAAATCTGCTAAAACTGTAGTAAAGTCTGTAAAGAGATGGACCAACGAAACAGAGCAGGCATTGCAAGCCTGTTTCAACTTGGACAAAACAGGGACTTATGTGAGGATCCTGTTTGTGGACTTTAGCTCCGCTTTCAACACCATCATCCCAACACTCCTCCAGACCAAACTAACCCAGCTCTCTGTCCCTAGCTCTATCTGTCCATGGATCACCAGCTTTCTGACAGATAGGCAACAGCTAGTGAGAATTGGTAAATTCACATCCAACAGCCGCACCACCAGCACTGGCGCCCCTCAGGGTTACGTCCTCTCCCCACTGCTCTTCTCCCTCTAAACCAACGACTGCACCTCTAAAGACCCCTCTGTCAAGCTCCTGAAGTTTGCAGATGACACTACAGTCATCGGTCTCATCAAGGAAGGAGACGAGTCTGCTTACAGACAGGAGGTTAAAGAGCTGGCTGTCTGGTGCAGTCTTAACAACTTGGAGCTGAACACCCTCAAAACTGTGGAGATGATCGTGGACTTCAGGAGGAAACCCCCTGCACTCCCCCCACTCACCATCATGGATAGCACTGTAACCAACTGAGGAAATTCAACCTGCCACAGGAGCTGCTGAAGCACTTCTACTCAGCCATCATGGAGTCTGTTCTGTGCACTTCAATAACTGTCTGGTTTGGTTCAGCTACAAAATCAGACATCAGAAAACTACAGAGAACGGTTCGGACTGCTGAAAGGATTATTGGTGCCCCCCCTGCCTACCCTCCAAGAACTGTATACATCCAGAGTGAGGAAAAGGGCTCAGAAAATCACTCTGGATCCATCACATCCAAGCCATCTCCTTTTTGAACTTTTGCCATCTGGTCGGCGTTACAGAGCACCAAATACCAGGACAGCCAGGCACAAGAACAGTTTCTTTCCCCAGGCAATCTACCTCATGAACAGTTAATGTTCTCCCATTGTGCAATTAAAGTATGTGCAATAACCTTATACTTGTTTATAACCCTAAATCCTAGTACATCCCTACAACTTTATTTTATTCCTATTCTATCTATAGCACACCTGTACATACAATTTATTCTTTTTTTATGGTTTATATTTATGCGTGTGTATTTTATTCACATTTATTTTTATTATCTGTGTGTTGTTGTTGTCTCTGTGTACTGGAAGCTTGTGACACTATAACAAATTCCCTGTATGTGCAAACATACTTCGCAATAAAGCTCTTTCTGATTCTGATTAACACAATAAAACATAACACACAACTTACAATAGAAAAACTTAAAAACAAATTTCACATACTCCAATAATTCAATTAAAATCAATACCTGTGTTATTGAATAAATCTACTAAATTCTCTGAGGCACCCGTCAGTATATCTTCAGTAAGCACACCATAAAAAATAAACAAACAAACACACGTTAAAACTAAACACACTAACTATAACCATGAGAGTCACAACCCTTACCTCCACAATTTACTTCCATACTGTTCACAAGGCAACTAGTTGTTTCATCTACCACACAGCCTTGAAACATGCCACACAGCTTCTCCTGCTCAGCACACGGTACCACAAAGAGGAAGGCCAAAAAGTTTGATTTCCTATTTTATAGTACTTGGACTCATGGGGTTTGTAGTCCAACATATTTGTAGTACTAAACAAGCCTAATATAGAGCCACTACCAATCCTACCTCCACCCTATTTCAATACACTCCCCTTAATTTAAATCAACGTCCCGTCGATCAAATTTCTATGACCATGGTCGAAAAAACAGGGTATTTGTAGCTCTATAGCAACACCCCAGCAACTGCATAGCAAGAGCCTATAGCATCCACCCAGAATATCCTAGCAACCAACTAGCAACACTTTAGCAAACGTCTAGAACATCTAACTGACCGAACCACTTACGTTTTTTAAACAGGACTTTTAAACAAGCCAGCATACATTTGTCTTTGAAACTTTTCAATCTAGTTATTACAGTTTTTCGTACAGGTTTTTTTTTCCACCTGTTACACACATTTTCAAAAGACTTTTAAACAAGCCAGCATACATTTGTCTTTCAAACTTTTCAATCTAGTTATTACAGTTTTTCGTACAGGTTTTTTTTTCCACCTGTTACACACATTTTCAAAACTTTGCCTCTTTTTTTCAAAACGTTACACACAAATCCTAGAAATGCACACACAAAATGCAAAATGCCTCACATCACATCTCTTGCGAAACGAAGCACTGCATTCAAAATATCACAAACACATCTGAAAAGCAAACATTTGCAAACACCTTTGCCATAATATTAATTGCTGTTAGATGTTTGTGTGTTACATAGAGAATTGTGTGTTGTGTTTTGCCAAAAAGTGTTTTATGAAATTGAAAACGGAGCCAAAGGCCGAGAATTAGCGTATGGTTTTGCAGATTTGGTGTGTCCTTGCTGTTTGAGTGTCTGCTCTCAGAAATTGTGTGACAAGTAAAGATTTTGTTTGTAAGCAGTTGAAAAAAAAACTGTAAATGCTTACAATTCAAATACACAGATGACTAATCTTGCAGTGGATGAAAAGCACTAGATCAGTTCAAAGATGTCTTTCCTGCCCAGTGAACACTGAGATCAATAACAATGTAACAAAAAAAACCTCTTACTAGAATTGAGGAATTTTTGCAGTTCAATGTCTATTACAGTATACGTAAATTAAATGACAATTTATGTAATTTAATTTATGTTCGCGCTTTGTGGTTTTGACTCAAAAAGAACCGGTTCATAAGAGTCATTTGTTAATGAAGCCGACTACACTGGCACGCTGCGTGCGCGTGCAACCATCGTGCACAGTTTATTAAAAGACGTGTTTTTGCCATTATTTTGCATTACGCTGTCATCGCCGCGGCTGAAAAGTAGCACATGAAACACTGCTTACATTTATATTTAATTCTGTGATAATTCTGGGGTGGCAGGTGAGGTGGCACAGCTTTTTCTTAGGGTGGCAGTTGCCACCCCGGTAGATCCGCCCCTGCTGCGCTCTCGACATTTGTCATTAAGATAACTCTATAGAAACCGCCTAAAAGTATATAGAAGTATACGTATTCTAAGTATATAGAAGAGAAGAAAGTCGCTCTGTGTAGCCGCCTGCATTGCCCATGCCAGGATCCGCCACTGCCAGATGCAGTGAGAAATTTAATAAAAACAAGCCAATCACAATCTGGTAGGGGGGTACCTGGGGTGGCCACCCAGATTTCTTTGGGGGCCGGTGCCACCCCTCGCCTCCATGTACCGCCCCTGGTTGTGTAACAACATTATTCCGACATTCCCGTATAGACAGGAACTGGACTGTTTAAACCTCTGGAATATATCCAGAACACATGTGCTGCAGCTCGAATTGCAGCTGTCGAAAACAAACGTGCTTCAGGAAAAAGAAGCATTTTACTTTCATATTCAGTACACCGTTCTCACAGATAGACACAGGTTTCTGTTTTTCTTCACTCTGCTCGTTTGCTGCCTAAGGTAAGAACATTTTGCACAAAATATGCAGAAAGCAACGCATTTGAACTACATTAAGGGATTTTGGCGAAAATGTAAGACCTTTTTTTGACATGCAGATTTAACTTGATAAAAATGTAGCCTACAATAAGAGTTTTTAAAAAAAAAATTTATGCAGTGTTGTTTCGCAGATGTTGCTGTTTTTTTATTTTGCACCCTACTTCTGGTAATGCTTTTTTATGTTTGTTTTGGAGATTCATTTTTTATTCATAATATTAAATAAATAAATTTATTAATAATTAAGTTTTACTTACTATTAAGTATCTAATGTTTTGCACTGATTATAATGTAAGGTTCATCATTGACGATAGTGTCAGATGTTTATACTTTAGAATAGTATAAAACAGAAGATTATTCCATGCATTCACTGGTGCCTCATTTGAAAAGAGAAACCTTTTTTCCCCTCCTTAAAGGAACAAAAATAAAAATTCTGTCATTTCTTCCCTATAAGCCTGGTGCTTATTTTTCTGTTGGATAAAAAAAAAGATGTTTGAAGAATCATCACACAGCACTTTTCCATTAAAAAAAAAAAGTTCATAATGACCAGTTCTGTAAAGAGTTTTGTCTGCAAGGATAATAAGGATAATATTCTATTCAGTCCAGGAAGGGGCAGGTTATAATAACATGGTTGGATGCTGCACACTGGTGGCAGCAATGGAAGTAATTGGGCCCAATTTTGACATTTTCCCTTATGGGTGTACTCACTTTTGTGGCCAGCGGTTTAGACATGAATGGCTGTGTGTTATTTTGAGGGGACAGCAAATTTACACTGTTATACAAGCTGTACACTCACTACTTTACATTGTAGCAAAGTGTCATTTCTTTAGTGTTGTCACATGAAAAGATATAATAAAATATTTACAAAAATGTGAGGGGTGTACTCACTTCTGTGAGATACTGTATATATAGTGCTGCTTGAAAGTTTGTGAACCCTTTACCATTTTCTATATTTCTGCATAAATATGATCCAATTCATCATCAGATTTTCACACAAGTCCTGAAAGTAGACAAAGAGAACCCAATCAAACAAATGAGACAAAAATATTTTCTTTGTCATTTATTTATTGAGAAAAATTACCTAGTGAATTTTTGCTTTCAGTATCTGGTGTGACCCAATTTTGAAGCAATAACTGCAGGTAAAGTTTCTTGTAACTGCTGATCAGTCCTGCACAACATCTTGTATTAGTTCTAGCTCATTCCTCAGTACAGAACCACTTCAACTCTGTGATGTTATGGGTTTCCTCCTATGAACTGCTTGCTTCAGCTCCTTCCACAACATTTCAATTGAATCAAGGTCATTCCAAAACATTAACTTTGTCCTTCTTTATCCATCCTTTGGTAAAATGACTTGTGTGCTTGGGGTCGTTGTCTTGCTGCATGGCCCAGTTTCTCTTGCGATTCAGTTCTCCGACAGATATCCTGACATTTTCCTTCAGAATTTGATGGTATAATTCAGAATTCATTGTTCCATCAATGATGGCAAGCTGTCCTGGACCAGATGTAGCAAAACAGGCCCAAACCATGATACTACCACCACCACCACCACCACATTTCACAGATGGGATTAGGTTCTTATGCTGGAATACATAGGAAACATAACGCTGCTCATTTAAACCAAAATGTTCTATTTTGGTCTCATCCATGTCTCCAGTATTCCTCTGGCTTGTCCACGTGGTCTTTAGCAAACTGCAGATGGGCTTAGAAGTTACCCTGGGTTCCTTTGCAACCTCGCAGACTATTACAAATCTTGCTTTTGGAGTGATCTTTGTTGGTCGACCGCTTCTGGAGAGGGTAACAGTGGTCTTGAATCTCCTCCATTTCTACACACTCTGTCTGACTGTGGATTTTTAGAGTCCAAACTCTTTAGAGATGGTTTTGTAACCTTTTTTCAGCCTGATGAGCAACAACAACTCTTTTTCTGAGGTCCTCAGAGATCTCCTTTGTTCGTGCCATGATTCACTTCCGCAAACACGATCAGACTTTCATAGATCCCTGTTCTCTAAATAAAACAGGGCAGGCAATGACACCTGATAGTCATTCCACTGTTTGACTTTAGTTTCACCCTCAAATTAACAGCTAATCATAGAGATTCACATACTTTTGCACCACACAGAACACTGGGTCATTTTTTGTAAAGGGTTCATAAACTTTCAAGAAGCACTGTATCATTTTATTTAAATATAATTATTATTATATAATATAAATGCATATTATTGACATATGAACATATTATCACATTCTCATGAGTTAATATGTTGTGGCCACAACAAAATGAAATGAGCAGAACACATCCCTTCCTGGGCTGTGTATTATTCAAAATAATAATCCATATCTTTTTGTTTCAGGCTTTACAAAATGTCTGGAGAAGACAATGCCATTGACTATGATACAATCATTAAAGAACTTAAAATCATACAACCAAAAAATGTATCAGAAAATACAACCAAGCAGTACCAACAAGAGATCAGGATGACCTACTTAATTATGTATTCTATTGTCCTCATCCTTGGTGTCACCCTCAACTTCATCGTCATTGTCATCAGCTGCCTGAAAAACAAGAATTCTCCAAAGGTTGCCACTTGGATTATGGCGTTGGCTTCAACACACTTAGTCTCCAGCATATCTATTGTTTTTCAGCTCATGTATGCTTACAATAACTTCATATGGAATTACGGAAGTGCAAGCTGCAAGCTGTCATCATATATCAGCTACAGCAGTATGTTCTCCACGGCAGCCATGCTGAGTCTCTGGAGCATTAGTTCTACTTTTTCAAACGGCGGGTGCACAAAAAAGTGCAAGAATTATAACCTGATTCTGATTTCAATTTCCTGGACCATTGCAGCAGTCTTGGCTTGTCCTTCGCTGCTTTCCAGAGAGGTCCGATTTTCTCAGTGCATTGATGATTATGACTTGGACAAATCAAAATCAACTCAAGACGGCATTACAAGGCTGAAGGCTGTCGTTGTCATGCGATTTCTCATCGGGCTTCTCGTACCAGCTTTGATAATGTTTCTAAGCTGTTTGGCATCAGCTCAAAGAAACTGTCAATACTGCAAGAAGCAGGCACAGATAATCTGCGCTATAAAGATTGCCTACTTTGTGTTCTGGGGCCCTCAAATCGTCTTAACCATGCTTCAAGCCACTGTAAACAACAGCTTGGGTCCAAATATGTCGAGATATGGACTTCCAGCAGCTACTGCACTGGCCACAGCCCACTGTTTTAGCAGCCCGCTCATCTATCTGTTACTGGGATGCAGCATTAAAATGAATTGGATGGCGCATGACCCAGATCATGGAATGGAGGATTATCAGGGGATCAAGTTGCAAATGAGCCAGAAGGTCTGTCTGTGTGAAGGTTTTCATAAGTGAATTGGAGACACTAACTTGTCTGTGAAGTGAATGAGAGTGAGAGTTTCCCCTATGATGGACTGGTCATCCGTCCAGTGTTTCCTCCACTCGTGGCCCGAGAGACTCTGGGATAGGCTCCAGCATCCCTGCGACCCTACAGAGGATAAGCAAGAATGGATGGATGACCCAGATCACAACAATGAACAGCTCATCCACAAAAATGCATGCCAGTAATTTCTGTATGCAAACTGAAAAGTGGACTGTTTCTTTTAACTCCTAATCCGAACTCCAAACTCTCAAAACTAAGATTATTCTGAATATTGGTCCTGTTTGGTCCAGTTTCATGCTTTGCTTCAAGTTATATGCTGCTTTTGTTGAAAAACTGCATCACATGTATACACTTACCAAACTCATAACCTTCACATTGCTAGAATAAGCATTGCTACAGAAACACTATCTATATCCTGTTGTATAAGAATATCAACCTCATATAGAGGACCATTTGAAGCCATTTTTTATTGATGGTGTGTCGTAATATTGTTGCTGTTTTGTCATAATACTGTAATGTTTCCTTTATTATAAGAATATCAACCTCATATAGAGGACCATTTGAAGGCATTTTTTATTGATGGTGTGTCGTAATATTGTTGCTGTTTTTTTCATAATACTTTAATGTTTCCTTTATTATAAATGTAAGAATGTGTAAGTATATGTTTTTAGGTCTATATATGGTTACAGTGTCATGAATATAATACATATGAATATATTTTCATAAGTTATGTTTTTACAAACACTACAAACAGGAAGTATGCCCATATTAGCCAGGTTCCCTCCCTATTAAACATTGTATACATTTTAAAATCCTGCTGATTACTTAAAAAGCCCTGAATGGTCTTATCTCATTACAGTCCTTCATGTCTGCTGCAATCTCAGAACTCTGGCCATTTGACAACACCTAGAATATAAAAATCAACTGTGAGTAGTAGATCCTTTTCCTATTTCTGGAACAGTCTTCCTAGCACTGTTTGGGAGGCAGACACACTGTTAGTTTAAATCTAGATTAAAGACCCATCTTTTTAATCTGGTATACACAAAACACTATCACATTTCTATAATTCAAATCCGTTGAAGGATTGTTAGGCTACATTAATTAGGTCAACCAGAACCGTGAACACTTCCCATAATACCCAATGTACTTGTTACATTGTAAGAAGAATGGCATCTATACTAATATTACACTCTAAAAAATGCTGGGTTAAATACAACCCAGTGCTGGGTAAAATAGGGACAAACCCAGCAATTGGGCTGTTTTGGCCCAGCGGTTGGGTTAAATGTTTAACCCAACCTTCTGGGTAGTAACCCAACCACTGGGTCAAAACAACCCAATTGCTGGGTTTGTCCTTATTTTACCCAGCATTTTTTAGAGTGTAGTCTGTCTGTTTCATTCTTATTCCGAGATCACCGTAGTCACCTGGATTTGACTGTTTACTATTGTCCTCTTTTTAGAGCTGGTTTACAGCAGAACTGTATTTTGTTCGCATCATTGAAAAATTATTTTCCTGTTTAACTCTGTAAAGCTGTTTTAACACTATCTGTAATGTATAAAGCACTATATAATTAAAGGTGACTTGACTTGACAAATGAGAAAGAGAGAATATAAATTGATCAAGACTAATCACTGTGCATTTGCAAAACACGAGCAGACTGCGTTTGCTTAAGACTAGATTTCTTTATGATTTACAGAGTATTTCATTCCCTTCGTGTTCCATGAATGTATTTGTCAATATTCAATAAAATATGAAAAATTGCTCTGTTTATCACACTAGTGTGCTTTAATGTTTGACCAGGAAGTTTGGTTTTAAATAATATAATAATATAATTTCACTTACCTGGCCTATCACTTGAAGTAAACATCCATCCCTTCTTAAAAGTCTGTGTTAAAAGAGAGCTGCCTGTTGTGCCATTTAATTAAGCCAACTGCTGTAGCCTATATCCATCTTAGGCATGTTCTCCCTTTATTTTTAATTTGTATATATAGCCTACTGTTTGAATGACAGCTTGGTAAATCTGTTGGCATTCAGATATTCAATATGGCTACTCATCATAAGTACTTGGTACATTATCAGCGCAGCGGGAGACGTTCAAACTAATAGCACGTAATTTATGTCTCTATAATGATTGGTTGATATACCAGAAGGGAGGCTAGCCTCCCCTACGAGGTTTCTTTTCTCAACACTCCTCAGCGCTGAAAGTGAACACTCGATGGTGATTGGCTAATTTTTTTTTACCAACGGAGGCACGAGAGCTAACCTCTCCCCCGGCCTCCCCCTACCCTTCTATATCACCTTGCGGTTGTAATTACATCAGCAGATTCGGCACATGCGCGATAGAAAAGCGGCGCTTTCCCGTTATGATATTACAACTGTGAAATTACAAACAAAAAATACACATTCTGAGACATGAACTGAAATGAATTGTGAATTTTATTAACATTAAATCGTCCTCCGCCCATTTTCACCTCAAAATTATGGGGAAGCTGTGCCTCCCCTGCCTCCCCCGAAATAAATAAAATCACAGGAATAATCAATATCCAGATTAAGTCTCTCTTAGCTGCATATATCATGTAACATTTTAAATGTAGCCTCTTTTATTTAAACACGTTATGAATGTTACAGCTGTGAAATTACAAACAAAAAATACACATTCTGAGACATGAACTGAAATTAATTGTGAATTTTATTAACATAAAATTGTCCTCCTCCCATTTTCACCTCAAAATTTTGGGGAAGCTGTGCCTCCCCTGCCTCCCCCATAAAATAGCTTATAAATCTCTCGTTATGCTGTATTATCATCAGATATTGGATTCAATCTTTTTGTCAGCTTGTTTTATTTCAATTAGGACAGGCTTTATATTTATTTTTGAAACTAAATGATCGTAGGCCTCATTGATCTGAGCCTCAATGATCTGATGATAAAGTTAATTTCTGTGAAAAAGAAAGCCTGTAATACTCAAAATAGCTTGTTTGTGTACATAAACGAGTGTGTATGTGTTCTGTATGTGCAGTAATGTGAGTGTGCATGTATCCACGCGTGCACATGTCTGAGGTCTTTATGTTTGCAAGCACACATGTACATATGTGAACATAAACATGATGACCATACTCCTGAACACTTGAATGTTTCTCTTATTTTCAGTCTCCCCTATTCATTTTTGTTTTTGACCAATATAAGCTCAGATCAATGATGCCTACGATCAATCAGTTTCAAAAATAAATATAAAGCCTCTCCTAACTGAAAGAAAACAAGCTGACAAAAAAGTTTAATCCAATATTTGGTGATAATATAGCATAACAAGAGATTTATAAGCTTTTTTTTTTTTTTTGACCGGGAACACCACAAGTTTTTTTCAATATTTTATTGAATATTGACAAAGTTACCCACAAATAAGTTTTTTTTTTCTCAAAAACTGAGGTGCATAGCTCAGATTAAAGGCACAATATGTAAGTTTTCGCCGCTAGAGGGCGCGTATTCAAAACAAACAAAGAAACAAAGGCGTAGTTTGATGATGCCGTGACTGAGTGTGGAATCATGGGAGTTGTCATCGTCATCCCCACAGCCGATGCAATCCGACGGGGACTCGGGCAGAAATCATGTTCATGGATGAGCTAATGATTTATTAACGTAGTAGAATGAAGCAGGGTGAAGCTGAAAGCCGTCGAAGCGAAACGAGGTCGCTGAACAAGCGTGACACACATACGGCTCGAAAGCAGCGGAGCTTTTATTATGCCACAGTCGACCGCTTCCGCTCCTTCCAGTCGTGCGTATGTGGGGTAAAGCAGTGCTCTTTTATCATACTAGATACATTTGAAAGTTCTGTTATAATGCTACTCTGTACAGTCATCACCTGTCTAATAAAACGCACAACATATTAAAGCGTCTTTGGTGTTTCCATGTTTTCTACAAAACAAAACGTAAAACGTAAATCGAGGGGTTATGACGTCATTGGCAGGCGACACAATGACACTATGGACACGGTCCGTGTCACTAGTTAAAATTGCTTTTCTCTGGATTTAAACATTCTTCGAAACATTTGGGATAATGTAAGTACACAAGTCAGCAAAATATATAACACTCTTCTAGTGGTTTTTGGATATTTTAATAAAAAAATCTTACATACTGTGCCTTTAATGACACCTACGATCAATCAGTTCCAAAAAGAAACACAAAACCTTAACTGTAAGAAAACAAGTTGACAAAAAAATTGAATCAAATATTTGGTGATAATATAGCATAACAAGAAATTTATAAGCTATTTTTTGTAAGACGGTCATTTTTGACTGGGAACACAAGTGTAATAAGGTGGGAAAAAATACCTCCAAAAAAGTACAAAGCACAGTGTTATGCCCTGTGTGAGCAAAGTCAGTAAGATTTAGCCCAATGTGGTAACATTACCTTTAATTTTTTTGGGGAAAAAAAATCCTCTCACCACCAGAGGTTTAAGTCAACGACTGCCTACAAACTTGCATTCAAATCTATCTCTAGTTTGTAACACCAACTTTCTACTATCCAATCAATTCCCAATGGACAGAATGAAGCACTGACCTTAATTTTTTCTTGTGCGTCTCAATAAGGAAAAAGGGTGGTCGCAAGTTCCGTTTCTTGTAAGTTTAAATAACTTAAAGAGGAGGATGTGATGTTTGTTCCACCCAAGGCTTCTTCCTGCTTTTGATTTTTTTTTAGGTGGGGTTGCATTGGCTGGATTACAAAGAGTATTAAAGCACAGTTTCTCTGCTCTGGAACAATAACCTATTGCACAAAGAGCTATTTAAATAAAATTTAATTTAAATTATAATGTGAATGTTTGAAGATTAAAGAAATAATACAGTATTTGAATAAGTAGCTAGTCAGCTTGTGGTTATGTATCAAGAGAAATCTTTGTAGACAATGGGTGGGCAACTCTGGCCCCCACTTTTCTACAGAGTTTAGCTCCAACTCTAATCTAACACAGCTTACTTGTGTATTTACATATTTCTGAAATGAAGCAGTCGGGTCTATTACAGCAGCGTTTCTAGCAGTGCTTTTTAGTGGTTGCACTCCTCACATACTTTACCCCAAATCAAACAGCACCACAGTTGTCCACAAATAATGTAAGTAATCCACAAGTTGTGTGTTTGTAATAAACATGTCCATCATTAAAATGTTTTAACTTCAAACTGTTGCTTCCGGCTAAAATACAAGTCCTATCTATGTAGCTATCTCCAATGAAAAAGTAATCTCGTCAGATGAATGGCTTAACTATTCCTTTAAAGGGGTCATGAACTGAGAAATCAAATTTCCCTCCATCTTTTGACATATAACAGGTCAGTGTACTATAAAAACATCCTGTAAGTTTCAAAACTCAAAACTTTTTCGTTAGTTTAAAAACAGCTTTTTTTTTTAAACCAAGATCAGAAAACGACTCATTTTGGAATGTGCCATTTTATGATGTAATAGTGTGGCTAAACACCACCTCCACAGGAGAAGATCAACGCCTGCTTCTACATCACAGCCTCTTTAGCTGCTCCAACTGATACGCACCTGTAGTAGT